ATCAAATAAAAAAAGCTCACGCTACAAATCAAACAAAATTCCTTCCCCTCGTCCCCTTGTAAAGATTCTGGGGCCGTTTAGGGTAGTATCACAGATTACCCATATGCGAAACCCGGCAAAAGGATTTTGAAATGGGATTTCTATGTTTAAATGAATATGACATAGGTGTTGCCAATTATAATTTATTTTTAATTATTCTTACTTAATGTGACTTTCTTCTAAACATGCGTTTTGGATACCAGGGTTGGTTTGAGTAATTAATGGTTTTGTAAAGTAGTAGCACTTGTGATGTTTGAAAGGATGTCGGATAGGAGTTTTATTTTCAAACATTAAGGAACCAAAATAAGAATTTGCTTTTTGAAAAAATTATGGTTATACAAGATTTGATACAAGGTCTCTTCTGTCAGACCGATATTACTGATGAGGCCCTTTCGATCTATAGGTGAATTTGTTCCACCATTCCACTACTTCGTGCATGTTCTGATAGTTGTTTTGTGACACCACAAAAGGGTTCTGGGTTAAACATTTCGTGTTTTGATAGTTATTTTTTTAATTTAATAATCTATGTGAAAAAAAAATATTTTTTATACAGACATTAAAAAATTGTTATATTAATATACTTAATTAATTGTACTTATATTTGTTGTTCCTTTAATACAATAAATACAATTTACCTATCTCCAATTCATAACTTTCCGTATCCATATACCTAGGGTCCGATTACAATTAGAAGAACACCGCTACGTCATAACTATTATTTCGAATTTCCAATATACAGGGTGTCCCGAAATTAGACAGTCATATTTAAACAGCGTAATCTACATGCTACAAGTATTAGACTTCAAAAACGTGCAGATGCCGTCACCACATCTTAACCAAATTTATATGGGACCACCCCTGAGGTACCCCCTTACTAACAAAAAAAGAATCATATAAATCGGACAAGGTGGTAAAGCATTATCGCTAAACATACATAAAAAATGAAGAGTTTGAGGATTTTCTCATGGGCCCAATTATTAGATTTTGACCAAATTTATATTGGACCACCCTTGAAGTACTCCCTTTCTAACAAAAAAAGAATTATTGAAATCGGACACCGTGTTAAAGAATTATCGCTGAACATGCATAAAAAAAAATATTGCGACGAATTGACAACCTCCTCCTTTTTTGAAGTCGGTTAAAAATAGGAGTAAAAGTTTATATAAACATAGGTCCGAAAACGTTTCGTTTTCGAGATACAGGGTGTTACAAGTGAAGTCCAGATGGCACATTTTTGGAAATATTTTCTAAAATTTCTTTAGTTACTGGTTTTCCAAAGTAAAAAAAAATAAAATTTCTGATTCTACAGACCTACTAATTATTGTTCACACATTCGAATAAGAAAACATGCTTTTCTCTTGAAAATGGCGCGTCCTAGCGAGATGCAACAAATGTAGCTTTATTATAAAGAAAATACTGAATACTGAAATTTTAGAGTCAAAAATAATCAAAAACTATCAACAAAAAAAACTTAGGGCAATTTTACCCTAAGCTCCCCCTAATTTACCCACCTATGAAGATGATCAAAAACTGGGGTTTAGTCCAATAAATAGAGCGTAAAAAGGTAAGTATTTGTACCAAATTTTACCTAATTATCTTTAAACGTTTAGAAAATATTTACAAAAGTGTGGTATCCGGACGTCACCTTTAACACCCTGTATCTCGAAACAGAAACGTTTTCGGACCTATGTTTATATCAACTTTTACTACTATTTTACGATGTAGATTACGCTGTTAAACTATGACCGTTTATAACTATCAATAAATAAAAAATATTTGAGTTGTTTGGTTTAAAAATAGTATTCCTACATTCCTATAATATTAACAAGCCACTAAGTAGGCGGCGATAGCCAACGGATTACTTCGACAATTGATGACATACCTGTGTTCATGAAATTGTAATCGGACCACTGATCTGTATTATTTTACTGGATAGGATATAGGCTATATTTAATACACTAAAAATCCGTTCCACCAAGGAGACCGGAAGTGCAACACTGCTGGCCGATTTGGGCAAATTATGGTGGGATCACAGAACTGAATTTTGGGATAATTTGACATACCTAACCTATAATTTGATTAGTTTTTCTTCTTATTCTTCTTCTATTCCTTCTGCGGGCAATGTCCTTCGGGACAATTCACCTATAATTTGATTTTTTTTATGAAAGAAAATATAAAAATGGAAACGTGAAGCATATTGTGTCTTCACGAATGAACGTTTATTGTTTATATCATAATAATGCTATCCGATACTACCTAAATAAATAAAAAAAAACGTGTCATCGTAATTTTTTGACACAATTAAATGACAAATGTGATGACAAATGGAAATAGAGGTTATGTTAAATAACATCCGGTCCGCCATATTTTTTGCCCAAATCGGCCAATTTTTCGGAACGTTTTTTAGGGGGCTATATCCTATCCAGTAAAATAATACAGATCAGTGAATCGGACCCTACCCAATCCTATGATTATTCTTCAGCGCACGACACACATTGCCAAATTTATGTAGCGAACAAGGTTCCAAATACTTTAAGGATAGGTCGTTAGATCCGTGCGGTGTGACGTCAGAAGGGACTGGATTGCTCTATAGGGCCATTCGCACCGCTTTTACTTAGCATCTAAGTGACACTTAAGAAGGCATAACCGTTTGCACCGTTATTAAAGTTCCACTTATCAAGGCGTTAAGAATCACTTTACTAAGCCCAGAAATTTTTCAGCTTAAACCATTACTTAACCTTAAAATGTTTAATTTTTATAATTTTGAGTGATGTTGACTGTCATTGTGTCATTGATTTATAACATTTGTAAAATTGCAATACACAAAATGGAAATAATGGAAGATGCTTTAAAAATGCTTGATTTCATTAATATAAGATACCACGAAGAATATAAAATAATATATACAAAAACGATTACTTTTACACTGCGATTTGAATTGGCCGAAGAAAACTCTTAATTGCCTTGATGAAATTAAAGCAAATTTATAGTATCCTTATAATAAATATGTAGGTTTCAAACTCAAATATTTTTACAGACAACACAATTATAACCATTTTTATAAAAAGTGTTTTTTTGTGAATCTTTTTTGTAAAATTAGCATTAAACTCATCCCCATCTTTCAACGTTAGTATGATTTTTATTTTTTTTTTATGTTAACTAATTGAATTAATACTAATTTTACTCTCATTATGGCTGTACTTCGTGCTCTATTTTATTACTTCTTAGTTCATCTATTTTTTTTAAATAGTCCTGTGACACAGGAGAGAGTTTTTCTCTTCTGCGCCTGTGACAATCATAACTTTTGCTGCGTTCAGTGAGACGAGTGAGACATAATAATCCCAACCGATACCAATCGCTTTCGTTCTACGATACGTATTGCTTTATATCGATCCATATCATTTGAGAGCCTTTCATTTTTGCGCTAGTTTCTGCTTCTATCAAGAAAGATGAGCGGGAAACCTCTTAAAATCAACCTGAAACGCCTAAAACCAATCGCTATTTACGATTGCTAGAAGAACAACCTGGTTGGGCATTAATGTGATAAAAATAATACAAAAAATACTTAAATATTAAAATTATTGTAAATTGTTGATGAAAACTCCATGTGGAAAATAAAAAAAATCACTTTCAATTGCAAATACTACGTTTCATTAAATTAGAATTATCGTTCAACACAAATTTAATTTTTGTAAATTGAGCGTACCGTTCAGTAAGCTGATCCCGCTACCCCAATCGCAGCAAGAATCCGATACACTCATTGAACGCAGCTTTCATTAAACATTCAAAATAAAATTCAAATTTGACATTATTTCTTCTTTTTTTAGAAAAATCTTGACGTTGCCAAATCAATCCGACACTTAACTAATCATTGCTTTCTAATAGGTTGGTGCGAATTAAACTACGATAAGTAATACTTAAATAATAAGTTTCACTTTACTAAGGGGAAATTTATTCTGAAGCGGTGCGAATGGCCCTAAGTATCATAGTGGTTCGGCGGAAGGTAATGAAATTCTTGTTAAATTAAGGCAAACCTTTAATAATTTCCAACCTTGTCAAACTAGAATTCAAAATAATTTTAAACCTTTTGTGGCAAAAGACCTAAAAACTTGTGATTTTGTTTAAGGTCTCAAAAAGTTTGCAACCACCATATGAAGGCCCGTTCAGAGTAATAAAACGCACAGAGAAAACTATTTACATTGATAAGAATGGCGTTGAAATTGCACTAGCCATAGATAGAACCAAACCAGCTTATACAGATTCAAAAAAAACTCCAAATCATAAAAGTTATTTAGTTAGTAGTGTGTTGTTATTATTTTGATGGAAAATGAATGACTAATTTTGATGTCATAAATAAAATTATTATATTAGACTCCTTTTAATTGTCCATTGCAACTTCACCAACGCCCCTTATACATAATTTAAAAACAAAGTTAAGAAAATATTTTTTTGTGATTATATTTTTATTTTTTGCCCTTTTATTATTTTATTTCTTTTGTCTGTATTGTATGAATTATAACTTAACCTAATTTCATAGTTTTCTAAACTTACCGATTTTTCACTTTCACAAGGTTTTATCCGTGCCGATGTAACTCGAGAGAGCCCTATTTTGACAACTGATAACAATTATCTTATTCTACAACTCGTAAAATATCACGTTCTTGATGAATTCGTGTTTTTTTTTATTTATTTTTAATAAGAATCCATCAAAAACAGACGGGATGCTGTAACTTTATTACATCGATAAAATTTACAGGCGGAAAATCGATTTTCACCCCTTCTGCAACGCTCTGGAAATTTCCTTCACAAACAGTTGTTTCTTTTGACCTAAATTAATTATTTTTCATGGAAAATTCAGGTTCCATTCCTGCCAGAGAATGGAGAATTCCATAATTTCGTACTTACCGATTTTTCAGTTCCACTTTAGAATTCTGCAAACGGTCAGAAATAAAAACGCAATTTTAAATATTTATAAAAATCCAGTTTATTACATAGGTACAATATATTATTCTGAGCATTAATAAACCACATAACATAAATATACACATTTGTGAGAATGTAGGTACCATAATATACAAAAAAAAAATATTTTCCAGAATCACAAAAAAAATCATACCGTGGTTTTTCCTTTCATTTTCGGGGGAAGACACTTGTACGTTATAACAACGTTGTTCATCAAAAAATGATAATAATCAATAATAATAGTAAATAATAAATATATAAACACAAGGACAAATATTAGTTTTGACTTAAAATGATCTGAGTTAAAAAATATATATTATACTTAGAGCCCGATTGAGCAAACTCTACTTACTATTAAGAGTTCTCTCAAACGGGGGGTTTTAAATGATTTTCTATACAAGGGGAGGGGATTAGGGGAATTTTTTATATACTTAGAACTAGTTAAAAAGGACCGAATTGGGATCTTCGTTGTCCATCTGCTTGATATGCCGAAGGACGTCCTTTTTGGTTATCACTCCTAGCAGACGTCTAAAAAAAAATTGAAAAAAAACGCGTTATTAAATTTAAGAATATAAACTTAAATAAACAATACTGGGTGTTTTTGAAATACATATACATATTAAAACTGTCCTAAGCCAACAAGAAGTATCTCATAAAAAAGATTTCTACTTCTTTTTAACGCATCAGATAAACTAAGAACAAGTATTAAAAGTAATTTTAAAAAACCGACTTCAAAATCGTGCAGATGCCGTCACCATATCTTAACCAAATTTATATGGGACCACCCTTGAGGTACCCCCTTACTAACAAAAAAAGAATCATAGAAATTGGACAAGGTGGTAAAGAATTATCGCTAAACATACATAAAAAATGAAGAGTCTGAGGATTCTTCTCATGGACCCAATTATTAGATTTTGATTTTATATGGGTACCCCTTTAATAACAAAAAAATAATCATAGAAATTGGACAAGGTGGTAAAGAATTACCGCTAAACATACATTAAAAATGAAGAGTTTGAGGATTTTCTAATGGACCCAATTATTAGATTTTGACCAAATTAATATGAGACCACCCCTGAGGTACCCCCTTTCTAACAAAAAAGAATCATTAAAATCTGACACCGTGTTAAAGAATTATAGCTGAACATACATAAAAAAAATATTATGACGAATTTAGAACCTCCTCCTTTTTTGAAGTATGTTAACAAGTATTAGAAATTAAAAATTTAAAAAAACCGACTTCAAAAAACGTGCAGATGCCATTACTACATCTTAACCAAATTTATATGGAACCACCCCTGAGGTACCCCCTTACTAGCATACATAAAAATGAAGAACTTGAGGATTTTCTAATGGACCAACTATTAGATCTTGACCAAATTAATATGGAACTACCCCTGAGGTACCCCCTTTCTAACAAAAAAAGAATCATTAAAATCTGACACCGTGTTAAAGAATTATCGCTGAACATACATAAAAAAATATTATGACGAATTTAGAACCTCCTCCTTTTTTGAAGTCTATTAAAAATAACCATATATATTTTAGAACATTAAAAACTCAAGAAAAATTACTTATTTCATTATTATTAAGCTAAATTGATGAATTTCCTTGTTTCTTGATTTGTCCTTTGTTTAATTTCTTTTTTTAATAAAATTCATTTTATACCATTTTAAATCTTTTTATACATTTTCTTTCAATTTTTCTTTGGTTTGTTTTCACTTTGGGGATATGGGGGTGTATTTTTTTCTAATTTCGTAAGAGGTATTGGGTATTATTCATTTAATTTTTTTTTAAATTGCAATACATTTAGTATTTTGATTGTATGTTGCAAATTGCTCCTTTTACAGTATCACTTACATCATTAATCTTTAACTTCGGTACAATATGCCATAGTACTGATGTATGGCGTTTTATTATGTACATTATTCATTATAAATTACCCACCCCTTAGCATGCATCAAAAAACACGTTGCATAAAAAAACATATATTTTTCAAGAAAAATAAATAACGATTTAAATTGACTTGATAATTTATTTCTTCAACAATTTCGTTGATTATCCAATCATCTTCAAACGATCAAACGAAGATATATTTTTTCTATGACCTGCGACGAGTTCAACTGATAAAATTTAGAAACAACTATTTTAATGAATCCGTTATCAACGCTTTATCAGGTCGAACACGAGAGATAAAAATGGAAGATATTATTTAACATGTGACATTTGAACTACTAACCAAAATGGAGCCATCAATATGGGCGCCGAAAAAATGTAGTGTACAATATACATGAGTTAGTTTAATTAATAGACAATAAATCTGGACTAATGGTTGTTTAGGCTAATTACTGAGGCCCTTCCTATGGGGCCTCAGTATTGCATTCGTGCAGACGAAAAAATTGTCTGACCCCTATTTCTTAAAACTCCGAAAATTAATTCTGATGCCTTGGTAGGATTCTCCACTCGACCATTCACTGTTGGGTTCTAATTAACATTGCTGTTCCTAAAGTGGCGCTGGGAAACAGTAACAAAGCCTACACAGAACACGAGGCTAATAACTTTAGTAGTTGATGTCGATGACACAAAAAAAGAAGTGCAGCCTTTTAAAAAAATAGCCATTGAAATTTCAACGCCCCGTTGTTTATCGAAAACTAGTCATAGGATGCAGATGAGCCCATGGATGCTTTTATTCAGAAATGTAAGAATTTGAACGAAGTATCATACCATTTCTCCACAAAAATATTGTGATACTTTCCCCCTCTAGTGGCGCCTATGGCCCTCAATGCTCATTCAAAATCGGCTTCCGCTATCTGCCGTAATTACATAATTTAATGTTTATAAAATAAACGAACTTCGATTTTAAATCACTAAATACAAGGTCGATAAACAGGTCAATGTCGTTAAGTGTTATCTCGAAAATAACTTAAAATTGCTAATTTTTAAAAATAAAAATAAAATTTTTCTTTTTTTTAATTTTCAGCGACTCGTGAAGTGAAAATGGAAAACATACTGCTGCCTCAACATTTTCTGATATGGTGCAAGATTTGTTAATGTTATAAAATCGTCGAAACGTGTTATAGATTATAGAATGCAAAGGGGGCAATTCTGTAAAACAGCCTTTAGAAAATTAACTTTTTAGCCCTCCTTTGTTTTAATCAAAACCGGTATTCCGTTTCCACAAATGTTAATAATAATTATTAATTTTAAAGGAATTGGTTGACAACATTTTATTAAAGGTTCATTTGAACTAATTTTGTCTTAAGGTACATAAGGAAATAATTGTCCATTAAAGGAAAAGAAGAATTAGATGAAGAAGGGCGGGTAACATAACCAATTTACTTTTGATTAGGGTTTGGCCATCATAATATTATATGATACATGGTAAATGGTCATAAGTCCCTTGAATATTTAGCAACATATGGTATTCTACAGGGAAGTCATCTGGGCCTTGCGAGAGTTACGATTTATGTTTTTAAAGTCATTATTTTACAGTCTGTGGTAAATAGTCGCAAGTGCCTTTAATTAATAACAGATAGAGTTTTTATTAGCATTTGTAATGTAAAACATGTTGATTAAGTTATTTAAATAAATACTTAAAAAATGACATTACTATTTTCATTTAATTACCATAAAAAAATATAATACTATTTAAAAAAAATTGGAGATAAGAGTATTTACCTCTAAGATACAGATTTATAACTTTGTATCAAATGTTGGGATGATCATCGACTTGCAAATTCTATTGGTTAAATTTTGTAACCATCTAAATTACTCCGGTACAACGCAGTTACTCGAAGTTTGAGCATTTTTTGTAATATTTTTTAATGTTCGGTATAACTTTTTTTACAAGAATTCCTGGATGTTTTAGCATTTTTGTTAGATTATTCAAATGTCTTACAAATTAACTTAATTCATTTAGACAGTTGGTGTAAGAATTTTTTGTAATTATCTTTTAGCGTTTAAACAATTTTCCCACAATTTGAGGTATTTTTTATTTTTTGTAAGAATTTCTGGATGTACCAGCATTTTTTGTAAAAAAAAAAGTCCTCATTTTCTTTGTTCGTTTAGATTTTAATTTTTTGCTTGTTCTATATTATTCTGTAAGAATTTTTACATTGCTATTTTTCGGATATTTAAGCATTTTGTAAGTTTTTATTTTTTCTAAGAAAGTCTGGATGTTTTAGCATTTTAAAATATTCTTTATCTTTTTTCGTTTAGAAGTTTTCATATTAATTTTGATTTATTTTATTTTTGTAAGAATTTCTGGATATTTTGGTATTTTTTAAGTATTTCTGGATGTGTTAAATGTCCTAAAATTTTCTTTATTTGTTAAAAAAGTTGGTGTGAGAATTTTTATTTTTTTGTAGGAATTCCAAAATATTTTAGCATTTTTTGTAAGATTTTTTAAATATAATTAGTTCGTAAAAATGTTTGTAGGGATGTAGTTCTTGATGTTTTGGCATTTCTTTGTAAGGTTTTTTGTCCTGCAGTTATCTTTGTTCGTTTAGCAAGTTTTCAAAATGTTTTATAAGAATTTCTAGATGTTAATATTTTTACTTGCCTTATATTTTTTTCGTAAAATTTCATGTTTTTGCCATTTTTTTTGTAACATTTTTAATGTCATGTTCATTTACATTGTTTGACTATTTTTGTAAGAATTTCTCAATATTTTAGCCCATTTAAGTAAAAAAATTTAAATGTGCTTTATATTTGAATGTTTTTAAAGTTTTTATAAGAAATTTTAAATGTTTCTTTTGAGTAAAAATGTGATGTTTCAGCAGGCCCATGACACTCCCTGGGCGGGAAAAAGACGCGCAGCTTTTACTGCGCTGACGTTTTCGGGATATAACCTATCACTTGTCATAAATCCGGTTAAAAACTCGCTACCATGCGCAGGCAACCCATATTTCGTACACAAATATAAACTTTTGTTTACATTTTATCGAAGTAGTTTTCAGTAGTTTTTGTAATACATTCACAGCTTAAAAACAGAAAATTTGTTATTTTGATAGTGGATTTAGATAAAAAATACCCCAAATACACTTCAGTGTGTGTTTTATCCTTATTATTGCTCGTTTTATTTGAGGACATTGGAATAAATAGAGTACTAAAAGTAATCAAGCTAAAAAGGTGTGTTATAAAAAGAAAATACATTGCCTTCGACTGATTTATGTTTAATATGTTTTCGTGAAGTATTTCCAACATGCTAGTTACTTGAATGGTTGTAAATTGTACGTGTATAAGTGATAAAAACATCTAGTGCTTTGTGCTTCCTTTTTTTCTGTTGGTGTCCATTTCTAGCCAGCAATAGTAGCAAAAACATTAACATTGTCTACATTCAACCCATTTACATGTACATGATTTATCAGCTAAAAGCAGAATACAATATTTCTCTGCAAAATGTAAACAACGCTACAAGGAAAATTGTTCATGTATAAATTCAACAATTAAATCAAAATACATTATTTTTAAAGGACATATCAACTATTATGTTAATTATAAATATTATAAGTATTTGTAACAAAATAATAGTTGTGTATTAATAAACCTGTTGCTACTCCAAAAAATATATTATTTATTGATTATCAGGTATCAAAAATATGTGTACCTATAGAAATTTGTTGAAATGTTCTATTGCTCTTAATCTTTTTAATGGGTTCTTATTATAGTTGTAAATAAAAATCAACACTTTTTATCCGTCTATTTAACACTTACAAACGTATGCATATTTTAAGTTGTAAGGATCCATAGCCTCTTAATGTTTTACATTAGAAATAAAACCTGTGATGTCACATTAAATCGTTAATATGAGGTAAAGGATTTGGGAATAGTCTTTCAGTCTAATTTGAAATTCAATAACCATTTTTTACACATAAAGCAATAAAAGCATTAGGTTTTTAAATCAGAAATACAAACAAATTTAGGATTACCACCGAAATCAGATTATATAATGCCTTAGTAAGACTCCATCTTGAGTATGTTTCACAAATATGGATGCCCTTGGAAGCCACACAAATTGATCATATTGAAAAAGTACAAAAAATATGTTTACAGTACCTTTATGTCATAAAAAATACTTGTACCATACCTAAGATCTCGTATAAAACTATGCTCAATAGTTTTAAGATTAAATCTCTTTTACAAACAAGAAAGCAACAGGCTGTGATATATTTTGTACTCTATTTTAAGTACAAAGATTGTGAATTGATTGACTATATAAATGTTAATGCGGCAAAGATTAATCTAAGAAACCCAAGTAACAATAAATTATTTGATTTAGATCCAAGTAGTATATCTCTTTTTAACAAGATGATGGCTGTTACCAATGAGTTTCTTAGCGAGATCCAAATAGATATCTTTAATGTTAGCCTAAGAAAGTTGAGGACTGTACTAAATTAAGTTCACTAGATATAAAGGTTTGTTTCGTTTTTGGTCTTAAATTTCTTGTTACTTAACTCTACATGTAACTACTATTAATTTTTTTTATAGTATCCAATAAATAAATTATACCTTATGGCTGCTTTCAAACAATTCTGTGTGTAGTCACTTAGTTTAAAGTCAATTTTAAATTAGTGGTTTTACAAGAATGTCAAATAGTAATATGTATTGTGTCTATGAATTTGCTGTGTGTAGTAAATGGCCAATATACATAACTTTGATAGTTTTATCACAAGTGTAAAAACTGCGAAAACCATATACATATAGTTCCCATTTTAAAATAAATTCAAATTAATTCATAATAAAAAATAACGATTTTAGTCTGCCATACTTGAACTCATTCACAAAAACAAGTCACTGAGTATATATTTGTAAAAAAACTACACTAAATATGTCTCCGTTACAAATTTTTAAATTTAAAACTACATACTTTCCTATAGATTTTGCAGTACCTAAATAACGTATAGAATAAATTTTTACAATATACTAGAAAAGTTTTAGATTAGAGTTAAGAAATAAAGCAATACCTCTATTTTGTTACTCTAACCTTGTGTGTTATATATTTCCCTTGACAAACTAACGTTATATTTTGAACTAAAAGTAATTAAACTTTTACCAAAAAGTAATATTTCACATATATAAAAAAATTTAAAACGGTTCTGTCCTTCTTACATTTGCGAAGACTGCCCTGATATCTAATCTATTTTCTTCTTCAAAGTAATTAAGTTGTTCAACCGTTGTCTATTAAGGTATCTCACATCTCCCTCATACACACAAATTTGAAAAGCAGCAGAACCAAAAATTCAACTAACCATGTATACCAAGTCCGTGTAAAGAAAACTTTTCATATCCCGAAAACGTCAAGTGTCAACTAAAATTTCTACTTTTAGAGATCAAACGTGCCGCCTCAGAGTGCCAATACTGATTGGTATATATACTGGGGTTTCAGCGTCTTTATAAGATTTTTTTTAATGACCTGCAATCATCTCAGCTCGTTAAGAAATTTTTTGTAAGAATGCCTGGATGTTTAGAATTCTTGGTAAGCATTTATAATGTCCTTTATTTATCTTTGTTGGTTTATCAGTTTTCAAAAGAATATTTGTTATTATTATTTTAAGAATTTCTGGATATTTTAGCCTTTTTAAAATATTTCTGGTTGTTTTGCATCTTCGTTTTAACATATTTTTATCAGAATTTTTACTCGTTCCATATTGTTTTGTAAGTATTTCTGGAAGATATTTTAATGTACTGTAATTTTTTAACTTTGATTGTTTAGAAAATTTTCCCAACAATTTGTATGTATTTTTTTGTAAGAATTTCTGAATAGTAATAGAAATAATAATTTTACCACTCACAACAATAGAAACATAATTATTTATAATTGTAATAATAATTCTAGTACAGAAAACATAGAAACGCATATGTCTTTAGGGCTGGTAGATAAAACCGTTCTCAACATGACAAATGACGTTGTACAAATACTAAGTTAGAATTTTTATTAAATACGAACGGTTTAAATTATATTAAAGCATGTTATCGTAATAAAGAATTAGGATTATACACTTACCCGTTATGCGTGACGAGCGTTTGCCTTAGACCTAATTTCCTAAACATATCTACAACAGTCTCCATGGGGGTCTGATCGGTGATGGTGATCGGCGCCATGTCCAGAATCTTCTTCAACTTTAACGGGGGCGGGCCCAACGTTTGCGGTGCGTTGCCCGTCGTAAAGACCACCAACGATTGGCCGCAAATGCCGTCCACCATCCGTTTTGCGTTGGCTATGGCCAAATTTAGATCTCTTCTGACTACGAAGCCGACGAGGTATTGGGACTCTCGCGATACCACCACCGGATAGCCGTTGTGCTCGGTTTCCTTCAGGAGTTGCTCCACGTCGTCCACCGTCATCGAGTCTTGGGTGAGCACGCTCAAGGTTTCGTTTCGTCTGAAATTGAAGGGGCCGGTTAATTATGAAGAATCATTACTATCATTTTTTTTAAAGATTTTAAATGTTCAGTAATTACCTTTGTTCGAACGGTTTTTGTAAGAATTTTTAAAAGATCTATATTTTTTTGTTGATATTTTGGGAATTTTTTTATTTATTTTTGTAAGAATTTCTAAATGTATTTAGACTTGCGTTATATTTTTCTCAGAATATCTTGTTTTTACAATTTATCTTTGTTCGGTTACAAAGTTTACGTAAAAGTTTATGAATTGTAAGAATTTCTACATGTTTTAGCATTTTTTGTTAAGATTATTAAATGTACTGCAATGAATTTTTACTTGTTATTTTGTAAGAATTTCTGGAAATTACAGCAATTTTTGTAAGAATTTTTAATGTTCTGTAACTAATTATCTTTGTTTGTTTAGAAACCTTCCCTAACAATTTGTTATTATTTTGGATTATTTTATAAGAATTTCTGGATGTTTTTTTGTACTAATTCCTGGATATTTTAGCATTTTTTGTAAGATTTTTTTAAACGTAATGTAATTATTTTCGTAAGAAATTTTGAAGTTTTTTTTTTATATTTTTGTATGATTTTCTGATCTTAAGTATTTTTACTTGCCTTATATCCTTATATTTCTTGACGTTTCGGCATTTTTGTAAGATTTTTTATTGTCCTTTAAATATCTTTGCTCGTTTAGAAAGTTTCTATAATAATTGTTGTGTTATTTTTGTAAGAATGTTTCAGCATCTTTGTTAAAAAAATTAAAAGTGTCAAATGATCTTTTTTCGTTTAGAAAATTTTTGTGAAAATTTTTAACTACTTTATTTTGTTTTATAAGAATTTCTAGATAATACTTTGATTTTCCTTATATTTTTTTGTAGAATTTCTTATTTACGCAATTTTGTCATTTCATTACTTGGGTTCGTTTAAAAAGTTTTTGTAAGAATTGTTTAACTTTTTTTGTAAGAATTCCTCGATTTATTATATTTGAATGTTTATAGTTTTTGTAAGAATTTTTAAATTTTATTTTGAGCAAAAAACTATGTTTCAGCGTCTTTATAAGATTTTTTAAATGTCCTACAATCATCTCAGTTCGTTTAGAAATTTTTTATAAACATTTTTAACATTTTTTTGTAAGAATTACTAAATATTTTAGCATATTTTTTTTGTAATATTTTATAACGTCATTTAATTGTCTTTGTTCGTTTAGAAGTTTTAATAAGATTGTTATTTATTTTTTGAAAAAATTCTGGATATTTTAGCCTCTTTTAATATTTCTGGATGCTTAGCATTTTTGTAAGATTTTAAAATTGCCTATAAACTATCTTTGTTCGTTTATAGTTTTTCAGAATTTATCTGTTTCATATTGTTTTGTAAGAATTTCTAGCTGTTTTAACATTTTTTTTGTAAAAGAAAATTAAATGTACTGTAATTTTATTTGTTCGGTTAGATTTCTTTTTTATTTGTTCTATATTACTTTGTAAGAATTTCTGGAAGTTTTTGTAAGATTTTCATGTTCTGTAATTCTTTGTTTAGAAAAATTATATTGTAGACTGAATGTTTTAGCCATCTTTTTGTAAGAATTTTTAATGTCCTATAACTATATTTTGTTTGTATAGAATATTTTTCTATCAATTTGTATTTATTTTATATATTTAAGAATTTCTTGATATTTTAGCACTTTTTGTAAGAATTTTTACCTGCTTTATATTTTTTGTAAGACGTTGATGATATTTTTGTTAGACGTTAATGATATTTTTGTAAGACGTTAATAATATTTTTGGAAGACGTTAATGATATTTTAATACGTTTTTGTAAAAACTTAAAACATCCAGAAAATGAGACGGTAAGCACTATATAACCACAAAAGAACATTGCTTAAATTGCTAATATTTGTAAAATTAGATAAAAAGGTTGAGTTTTTTTCAGATACTTACTTGGGTTGCATGACATCAGCCGCCAACGACGTGTGCTGGAACTCGTCCTTCGAATCCAAAAACGGATAACCGTTCAATGCTATGTGCGCATCGTAGATCCCCTGCCTACCCAGAGCATCCCCTACCCATTTACTGGCCATAGCGGCGGCCATCAGCGGTACGATGTATCTCACACCGCCCGTTAGTTCGAACATGATGACCACCAGCGAGACGGTCATGCGTGTCACACCCCCTAGCACAGCGGCCGCCCCCACCATGGCGTACAGACCAGGCGTGATACAGTCGTTCGCTGTCGAACATTCGCCACTGAATAGCCAGATTTGCGGGTAGTTGAAGGCCAACTGTTCCATACCTGAAATTGCAATAATTATATAAATTAGTTTAAGAAAGATTTTTTTATATTTCTTGTAAAAATTTGTGATGTTTTGGCATTTTTTTTGTAATATAAAATAAAGAAAAATAAATTCTCAAAGCGATGTGTCGGCCGTTTCCCTCCAAAAAACAACTACCCCTTTGGCTAATACTAAAACAGTGTTTTTCTTAGGTTATAATTTAATGCCCCTATTATTTTGAGATATATGGCTCCTGTAACTTAGTTTTTTATATTTTTTTGTAAGATTTTTAACGCTCTATATAATTACCTTTATTTGTTTGTTTTTTGAAGAATGTTTACTAGTTTTATATTTTTGTAACAATTTCTGTAGTTTTAACCATTTTTTAAAATGTATTCTAATTATCTTTGTTAATTTGTAAAAATATTAGTCGTTTGATATTTTTTGTAAGAATTTTAAATGTTTTATCATTTTCTTGTAAGATTTTTTAATGTGATTTTTAGTTCGCTTAGAAATTTTTTGTATGAAATTTTAAATTACATATTTTTGTACGAATCTGTAAATTTTAACATTTCCATGAAAATAAAAGATTTGCTCTGCAAGAATTGTCGAGGTTTTAGCATTTTGTAAGATTTTTAATGTTCTGTAATTCTTTGTTCGTTCAGAATGTGTTTGTAAGAATGTTCACGTTTTATAATTTTGTAAAAATGTCTGTAAGTTTTAACCATTTTTTAAAATGTATTCTAATTATTATCTTTGTTAATTTGTAAGAATTTTAGTCGTTTCATATTTTTTGTAAGAATTTTAGATGTTTTATCATTTTCTTGTAAGATTTTTTAATGTGATTCTTTGATCGCTTAAAAATTTTTTGAATGAAGTTTTAAGTTACATATTTTTGTACGAATTTCTGTAAATTTTAATATTTTCATGAAAATGAAAGATTTGCTGTGCAAGAATTTTTGAAGTTTCAGCATTTTTGTAAGATTTTTAACGTTTCTTTGTTCGTTCAGAAAATTTTTTTGTAAGAATTTTTCATTTTATAATTTTGAACAAATTTTGAGGTTTTACAAATTTTGTTTTGTTTGATATATTAAATTTTTTGTTCGTTTAGAAAGTTTTTGCATTAATTTTTAGTAGTTTTTTATTTTTGTAAGAATTTCTGTTAGTTTTAACAATTTTTTTAAATATATTCTAATTTTCTTTGTTAATTTGAAAAGTCTGTAAGAATCTTGTAAGAGTTTTAGATGTTTTATCATTTTCTTGTAAAAAAAAATTAATCTCATTTTTGTTCGCTTAAAAATTTTTTGTATGAAGTTTTAAGTTACATAGTTATGTAACATTTTCAAGAAAATGAAAGATTTGCCCTGCAATAATTTCTGAGATTTCTGTATTTTTGTAAGATATTTCGTTTTATAAGTTGAACAAATTTTGTTTCGTTTGATTTATTAAATTTTTTGTTTGTTTAGAAAGTTTCTGCATGAATTTTTAAATATATTTGTAAGAATTTCTGTAAGTTTTAACATTTTAATGACAGATTTGTTCCGCAATTATTTTTGTTAGTTTAGAAAGTATTTGTACGAATTTTTACTCGTTTTGTTCTGTAAGAATTTTTTGTTTCAGCATTTTTTTAACATTCTTAATTTTGAGTAAATTTTTGTTGGTTCAAAAAGTTTTTATAGAAATGTTTACTAGTTTTAAATTTTTTGTAAACAATTTGATGTTTTGCAAAAAAATTTTAAAGTTTTTTTTATCTCTTTTAACATTTAATGAAAGATTTACTCTGAAGTTATTTTTGTTAGTCTCGAAATTATTTGCAAGAATTTTTTACTGGTTTTAAATTTTTTGTAAGAATTTTTGAGGTTTCAGCATTTTCGTAAGATTTTTAGAAAGTTTTTGTGAGAATTTTTAATAGTTTTATCAAAAAATGTAAGGTTTTGCAAATTTTTCTAAAATTTATTAATTTTTAGTGATTTTATATTTTTGTAAGAATTTCTGTAAGTTTTGAACATATAATGAAATATTTACTCTGAAGTTATTTTTGTCAGTCTCGAAAGTATTTGCAATAATTTTTATTCGTTTTAATTTGTAAGAATTTTTTGTTTTAGCATTTTTGGAAGATTTTTAATTTTTAGTACCTAATTCTTTGTTGGTTCAGAAAGTTTTTGTAGTCTTTTTTTGTAAAAATGTTGATGTTTTGAAATCATTTTTTGTTTTAAGATTTTAATGAATGATTAGTTACGCAAATATGTTTTTTAGTTTAGAAAGTATTCATAAGATTTTTCACCCGTTTTATGTTTTGTAAGAATTTTTTGTTTCAATATTTTTGTAAGATTTTTTATTGCTTTGTAAGTTTTGATTCCTTCAGAAGTTTTTTTTTTTTTGTAAGAAATGTTATTAGTTTTATATTTTTTATAAAAATTTTGAATTTTACAAAAAGATTTTTTAATGTCCTCTAGTTTTTTGTTCATTTAGAAAGTTTTTGTATGAATTTTTAATATTATATTTTTGTTTTTGTAAGAATTTAACATTTTGAAGAAAAGATTTATTCTGCAATTATCTTTGTTAGTATAGAAAAATTATTTGTAAGAATTTTTTTAAGATTTTTTTATTGTTCTGCAATTCTTTATTCGTTTAGAAAGCTTTTGTAAAAAATGTTAATAATCTTTATAAGAATTTCTGGATGTTTTAGCTTTTTTTGGAAGAATCTTTATTATCTAGTAATTCTTTTTTGCTTAGAAAGCTTTTGTAAAAATTTTTAATCGTTTTATATTTTCATATTCAGCTTATATTCTTGTAAGCAAATTTAAGATAAGTAGAAATTTTGTAATCGTTTACTAAACAAAAAAAACTTACCAATACCGACGATACGCCCAACAATGGCTCCTAAACACAAAGATGGAATAAACAAACCACAAGGTACTTTCATACCGAAAGTAAACACAGTCATAATGAGTTTCAGGATTAAAGCCAAAATCAGTAACCACACAGCTCTGTGTACACCTGGTCCAGCTGGAGCGAACTGTATCTCAGACTTCACGTTGGTGAAATTACGGTTATAATCACTGAAAAGATATAAAAACATTAAATTTCTTATACTGATTTAAACTTTTAACTGATTTTAATCGAAAAATTACGTTTCTTACCACATATCATCAGAGTTCGATATACCACACTGGCTGAACAACAAATATATTAGTTGACTAGTATTCATTCTCGTATAAGGATTAGGATATGCTATAATGGCGGTCATTACTGTAACTATAAGCACTTCTGTCACAGGATACTGCCCCAATTTCGAGGATTTGCGGTACTTGCACCAGTACAAGTTGGCTTTAATAAAAACCGTTGCTATCAGACCCTAAAAAACAAAATTTTAAGTTTTAAAACAGTTTTTATCTTTGACAATTGAAATATGAAGTATAGTATAATAGTATATAATAGTATAGTTTAATAATTATTGTTTTGTATAGGCAAATCAGTTAAAAATAGATTGTTTTATTGCAATATCGACTTACCCCTATGATTCCGAGCCCGATGAACGGTATCAGCTCAAAGAAGATCCACGGTTTGTTATATTCCACGAAAAATAGGACGGAATGCTCGTTTCCAAACGGATTTATAGATCTCAGAATGAAGGCGGCTATCAGAGCGCAAAAAAACGATCTCCATAGAGTTTTCAATGGAAAATAGTAACTCACCTGCAAGCGTCACAACATAATTGTTAAATTCGTCGTTAAATGATTAAAAAGTTGACATTTAACAAAATAAAACAGAAAAAGTATATTTTATGGTTATATGTCAATAAGATTGTCGTATCTGTCATCAAAATGCCACGATAAGTGACAAATTAGAGTCCAGAAACATCAAAATTACATTTCTATGTTAACTGAGTACTAACCTCTTCAAGACTGAACAACACGCCTCCTATAGGAGCACCGAAAGCCACGGACACCCCGGCCGCAGCACTAGCCGACAATATCTCCCTTTTTTTGGCTTCATTTCTTCCGTATTTCGGAAACAGATAGGAAAATATGTTGCCGATGGCGCACGCTATGTGTACCATGGGTCCTTCTTTTCCTAAACTAAGCCCGGCTGATACTGACAGTATCAGGCCGACGCACTTTATTATCAACGTCCATTTTCCCAGGTATCCTCGGATAATGAACCCGCTTAAAATGGTTTTAATCTAAAAAAAAAAAAAATATTTTGGTCTATCACATTGACTTTTCGCGAGTGACATGTTAGAAAAGATATGAATAATGACGGCAATGAATATAATGATTATGTACTTAAAAAATATATCAAAGTCACACGTACCTCAGGAATACCAGATCCGCAAGCATAAGGAGCGAACATCCTTACCAGGGAAGCCGAAAGGGCTGCAAACAGTAGGGCCCAAATTATATAAAACATATAAGAAACTATATAAGCCCCGACTCCCAGCTTGGCCTGTCCCAAAACTTCTGGCCAAGTCAACCACTGAAAAAAAAGACAACATTAAAATAAATTCCCCAGATTCGCAGAAATAAAAAACCGGCAACGGCAAAGCAGCTCACCTGCGAACAGTTTCCCGCTTCGAAGCTGGTCTCGTTCGAAGACCAGCAACATTGCTCCCGGTTCAACCAGAACGCCTGTGGGCATATGCCGAATTTGAGATCCGTCATCCAACTGGCGCCGATGTCGATAACTCCGGCAACGGCGCCCGTGAATAGTCCAACTAACAGGACGCACAGCCAACCCGACCACGCATCGTGCGCGCCCTCTATCAAGTTCCAAAGGGAATCTTGTTTCTTTTTGACAATATACCTACAAAATTTGACATTATTTAGAACTAGTACCACGGATTAACGAATTATATCAAAGTTATCAATTTGTTTCGATAGTGATAGATGACAGTTACTGACGTGACAAGTGATAGATGACGTAATAGAACATATCTGACAAATATTAATTGGATTTTATTGACAATTTTAACAAATTACTGACGTGATGGATGATAAGATGACATAAGAAATAAGTTTATAATAAATTAAATATACCTGTGTCGCATTCGATCTCTCGCGATGTCCCTTTGCCAATCAATTGTGTGAAAATCGTCATATTGGCCAATTCCTGGTATATCTGCTGATTCTGTAATGTTGATAATAGTTATTTAAGTACCAAGTCAGCACAGTTATTATTTTATTATGTATCGAACTAGTCTGAGATTATAAGCAGAGTGAGTGAGGCAAGTTCGATAGACACTTCGCAAACTGTAATTGCCAACCATAAAAATTTACAATTTTAAAAATGGAGATAATTCTTCCATTATCTTCTACAAATAATTCACAACCAAAATTTTACTGTCAAGTTGTGACAGAGTTGTTGTACTAAGTATTTTAAATACTTAAAGTCAATACTTAAGTACAAAAAGATACTTGAAGTATTTGACTCAAGTACTAATACAAACGTTGGTACTTGAACTTGCAATTTTAAATTTTTCAAATTTTACTTGTACTTATAATACTTAAAATATTCAAGTATATTTTACTTGAGAACTTTCGAAAATTTGTACTTAAGTATTATTACAATACTTAATTATCAGTAAAATTACTTAAAGTAAATATTTTTAAATACTTAAGTACAATTTACTTAAAGAACTTAAATAAATCCAATAATAATCCAGTATTCAGTTATGCAATATGCAAGTATATTCATGTTAGTATGTGTGTAAACTGTGTTGTGAAAATAGGTGCCTGTCCAGAGAGCTTAAATACTTTGTCTAGCCGAGCTGTCGTCTACCAATTCCTATGCCCAGAACAAATCACCGTAAGTAGCAAGTAGAAGTGTAGTGTGTAATAATAAACTAACAAAAATGACAAATAATATTGATATATTGCGATATTTAAAATGTATATGTATGTAATGGCATGCTATGTACCAATCAGAGCTGCGTTAAAGTACTCATAAGTACTTCACAATGAGTAGCTTTACAGAGTACCGAGTATGAGTATTTATATGAATAATACTCAAAATGAGTTGCATGTTTTAGAGGATACTCATGAACAACTCAAGTAACGAGTATGAGTATTTTAAATAATTCTAGTTACTGACTCAAGTTTAGAAAGAAGGAATTATAGTAATTAGTAAATAGGTAGGAGAACAGGAAGTACAGAAATTCAGGAATTAGAGTAGAAAGCAGAAGAACCGGAAGCAAGAAGCGAAGCGGAAGATTTTAATTAGAAATTTATTGATTAGTATTATTTTCAGTTATATTTTTGAAATTTTTGTAGAAATCCAAAGAAGCCACAACCCTAAAAGCTCTGGTATATTGCATGATTTAACCTTTCCGGGGTGGAAGCATTATTATTATTATTATAATTTTAGACAATGGAAGTACTGAGTACTCTAAAATGTGGTGGCGCAAAATAAAGTCCCCTATTTGTTTTTTATATAAAAGTAAGATTAATTAAAAAACAGTCATATTATAAATGAAAAATATTTATTTAAACTCTAAAAATTTGTTTTGTTACACACTAAAAACAATATCGACCAAATGGCCACCCCCAGCATTAATACAATAATGAGCTCTTTTTAAAGTATTTAACTTTCTCCAACATTTCAGGTGGTATTCTGTCAATTTCTTCCCGGATGTTGTCTTTTAATGCTTCTAGTGTTCGAGGATTATTTACAAATACCCTATCTTTGAGATAACCCCATAACCAAAAGTCTGGAACAGTTAAATCGGGAGATCTTGGCGGATATGCAATATCGGCGTTTTTCGAGATAAGGGCACCCAGGAAAAATTCTGATAATCAACGAATTTTACGATTTCGTCACGTTCTCGAGGTGTATATCGATTCATAATGAATTTCCCAAGTATCTACTTTGCAACTTACAGAAAAACTCTAACAGATGTCAACTGCAAACGAAACCATGACAACATTCCATAGGGTACTTGATTTTGCGCCACCTTGCACTTGAAATTTTTCGAGAATGAGTCCCATCAAGATGAAAGTACTTACAAATACCAATTACCGAGTACTATGAGTACTGGAGTACAATTTATTCGAGTACTGCCCAGCTCTGACCATAACTTATACATATAAGTATATAAGCTTGTGTTTCATTATTCGGATATACCATCAGTATCCAAATATTGATGAATAATAATTTAATTTGTGGGATTAATACGAACATTACTTAAAATAAAAAGTACTTACATTATTTTTTAAAGTATTTGTAATTAAATATTATTTCAAATACGCAAGTTTAAGTAAATACTTAAACTCTGATTTTTGTGTACCTAAATTTGGGTAGTTCAATGCAATTTACTTATTAATTTAGGTATTTGCTTCTTTACTTATACTTGTATTGGTACTTGATTCGTATTAAAAAAAATTTGTACTTTATACTTAAGTACTTTTTCTTGGTACTTACAACAGCTCTAAGCTGTGACAGTAACAATTTCTGCTGTTTGATGCCACAATCATGGTTAATGCGGCAGGTAAAATGTTTGATTTTTACAGTAAGATCAAGTGTTGTATTTTCTTCAGACAGTCGCTATGGTAATGCATGGCTCTATTGACAGTTGGCGATAAATAAAATTAATGGACTGTAATTGCCAAGCAAATTCTGAAAGTGTTTAACAGATACTTTATTCTTTCGAAATCAATTTTTTTTATAATATATAACTTTTTTTGAATACTTTAAATCTCAGTTTTGTAACTTCCCTCATTTTTATGACGTCAGAATTATAATTGATTTTATTTGTCAAAATTAAACGGTACTGGTGTGGTGAATATTGTTGGAAAGATGAAATTATTGTAATGAATCAAGGATGGTTAAAAAAGTTTTTATGAGAACATAAAATTGTATATTTAAAAAACTGTCAGTGAAAGATTTTTCCTCTTTGGAAATATCTTGTCAGATATGCAACATTTACAGTAACATATTTTAATATAAAACACCCTTTATATCGTGCTATGTTTATAGAAATAATATTTAAAAATTAAAATATATATAAATATCTACGAAAATACGAAAATATTATTTAGTAATGATCACAGTTGTTTTTGAAAGACAAAGAAGTTGTCAAACTTTGTCAAGCCGGTCCTGAATTTTAATTAAGGTTTACATGGCATTATGTTTGCGAAATATTATCGAGAAAATGATCAAGGTGATAAATATTCCATTGTAAAACTTACCATGTGCTCCAGAATAAGCTACAGAATCTAAAAAAAAAAATCGAATATACTGGATGTTCCTTAATGATATGGCGAATATTTAAGGGCGTGAATTTACATGAAAAATTAATGATAATTTGCTTTACTAACTATGGTCCAAAAATGTTCCGTTACATAAATACAGGATGCTTAAGTTTTGGAAAAAAAAAGGAAAACTAATTATTATTTTCGTACAGCTTGAGATATTTCAGTGATATTTAATATTCAGTAACAATTAATAATGGTGCATACTTTTCAATACAAAAATAAGGTTCGGTTTTAACAGTGGCGTGCGTACGAGCACTAACCTTGATATTTTTGAAGAAAAAATGGTACGCCAATGGTTTTTGCTAAATAAAAAATATTTTTAAATTTTTCGTACAATTTTAAACTTAAAGGTGCTCTTAATTTGTTTTCCTACGTTGTTCCATTATTGAGTAAAAAAATAAAAACTGTTGTATTGTCCGAGAAAATTAATGTAATTATTGAAGAATTAAAGAAAAAAACCATATCACTAATTTTTCATGTAGATTTACACCCTTAAATATTCGCATATCATTAACGAACACCTTGTATAATATTATTCCAAAAATTTTAATCAGCTTTTTTATCAACGAGTTTATTTTAAAATTATTTAATATTTTGAATGTATTTGACCCTCTTCTCCCCTTAATTCCAACAAAAGATGCGTTTACTTTAATGTCAACTTTGTTTTTAATTATCGGCTATTTTAAAATAGCAAATATCTTCTTGGTAATAAATAAATTCCAAAACGAGCATTATTTTAATGTGAACACTTTTAAACTCTAATAAAAACTGCGCATAGCTATGTAAATAATTAATAAAGAATGCAACCATAAATCAATTTTAGTAACCGATAAATTTTTTACAAACATTATTTCTTAAACAACAATGAATTTGGTCCCACCAGTCGGAAATACTTACAATGTGACACCCCATCGTCGTCTTCGTCACCCAATCTGCTGGTGCGGTGCAGGTCTCCGCCCCCAGTTGGTCCAGACGTCTGTATGTCAATCATGTCTTCATCTGGGGAGGCCACGAACGTAGCTCTGTTGTTACCGTTCAAGTGCTGCCAACACACACAAGCAAAATCACCTTTTTACATATTTTTTTAACAAGGTCAAATTGGCAAAATAATTTTTAACTATGGCGAAATTTTTAATTTTTCAGATAGGAGTTGAAATAATGTTGTGCTAAATGTTGGGAAAGAATGAGGAATAAAAGGAAAAATGTAGAAGTCATGCGCCTCGAAATGGATCGATAAGCGGCCGATATCGGTCACAAGGGATAGAGGATATGCTGAGGGTTTTGGTATCTGACGGGTACCGACATTTCGTGTCTGCAAACATATATTTGGATGGGTAAATAAATATAACAAAGAGTAATTGCTCTCAAAATATGGTGTCACTCAAAGTGAAATAGGGCCACATGTCAAAAATGGTATTTTTTATTACTATATGATACATTTTGTGATTCCTATCTGGTGAAAATATATCTTATATCATCAACTGATCCAACCAAACCAGAAAGCATATAATAATTATACGATCAAATCACATGGAAAAACATTTTTGTTTTCCTGAAAAAAGAAATTTATAGACATTTATTTATTTAATAATAATACATCCAACAGGCTTATAGCCCATTTACAGGTGTATAAAATATAAATAAGTAGACATTATTCCAGTAAAAATACATGCTAATGGTTTTGTTACTAAAGACAAAATACCTACCTAAAATCTTAGCTTTACAATATTAAATTCGAGAGACGTTAAAATGGCGGTTCCCACATAATCGAGACTGAGGCCCACAAAGGTAAACTCGTAGCGTAACAAAAACGAGAAATGGTTTAACTTGGAACGAAACACCGAAAGCCGATAGTAGTATTAGGACGTTGAATTTTTTGTTTTGTGAAGCATTGGCATTACTTAGGTTCAACCATGTGATGATTTTCACAAGCCTTGATTTTTAAAACCATTCTATATCGCCTTTTGATTAGGGTTTAAAAACTTGTTCGAGCAATTTATCCAATAATAATTGGCCCCTTTACCTCTTAAGCCTGCTCATGTAAAATATTTGGGCTCCTTATTTCGCCTATTTATATTCTATTAATAAAGGACAGAAGGATGAGTATTGCAACTATGTTAAAAGAAATAAATTGGCTTTCAGTTCAGAATTATGTTCAGTACATGACTGATATTTATTTATAAAATAAAAATGACATAGTACCATCGCATCAGATCTATTAGAAAAAATTCAATATAATTCGCAATATCACAACTATAATACAAGAAGCCAATCTGACTTTCATGTACGGCAAGCCATCACTAAAAGTTCCCAAAATATAAATGTTATTAAAGGTTTAAAAAATTTAATAGACTGCCTACAGAAATTAAAAAAAAAAACAACAATAAATGTATTCAAAAGTAACCTAACTTGATAAATAAACAGAACGGATATACTTTCTTGTGATAATACTCTTTAAACCTGCCCTTTTTAAGTATTTCCCTTAATTTATTGTTATTTTACCCTTCGTTTTACTACTTACTATGTTTAAATTATTAATAGTTTTGATACGATAGGTTATAGCAACTTATAGCCACAAAACTATTTTTGTGTTAAAGTAGATCCATAGAAAGCAATGTAATTTACAAAGGCCTTCTTTCAACATACAAATAAATGACAACTTTATAACTAAAATGAAAAACACAACAAAATACCTCGGTATCATAATTGATCAGAATTTGAAATGGGTTGATCACATTAAGTCATTAAAATCCCAAGGTGAGAAGATTCATTTTTAAATTTTATGAATTGAGGAAATGTATGAGTAGGAATTTACTAATTATTATTTACAATTCGCTGGTTGAATATGTAAACCAGCATTATATCCTACCTCTCTTTTATATAATAAAAAAGTGCTTTGTATAAAAACATTATATTATCTGTTTTGCTGTACCTCTATTTATGGAAAGCCTTAATTGAGATACACTACGAATTATTTGCAATAAATATCAAAAGAAGCATACGTTTTTAAATAATTTGACATTTAAGAGCCATTCACACATAACAGTTGACATGTTGATACTTGACAGGCACAGCCAAGCATTATTCTGATTTTTGCCAAATAAAATGGCCGGTTAATTAATCTATGGGGTTGCGATAGAGAGCCAGTAAATTTTATGAAGGTGTTTTTGTGGCTAGGGGCGAAATAGTAGTACGGTTAATAGCACCACCATAAAAAGTCATTTTTAAGAAACTGCTTATATATTTTTCATAAATTGGCAGACTTGGCGACTAATTTCGAATAAAAATGGCCGCCAAAATGGCTATAGTTGCAAATATGAAGGTCGCAACCTGCCTTAGAAATTTCACCTTTACTATCAACAGCTGTTGTTTGACAGGTCGTTAGAGATAGTTGCAATTTATGGAATGTAAAGAATGTTAGGAATGTTGACGTTAGAAATAATTGGAATTCCTAAAATTGTCACATTAGAAATGCATAAGCGGATTTGAAGAAAATTGATATTAAAGTAGGATGAACCGAAAATTCTGAAAATCAATAGGGTTCTAAGTTAGAAGTAATTATTCAAGAAAATCAAAACCGCAAGTCAATCAGAACTTTCGTTCTAGGGTTATTGTGCCGGCATACATACACATAGACGAGCAGACAAATTTTTTTTTGCATTTTCGGACTCAGAATGATCGGAAACATAAAAAAAAATTTAAAAAATGGGGCCTCAGTAAAAGAAGAATATTCTTTACATTTTAGAAATATTTGTGATTTATATCAGCTACTGATAAACTAACAGAACAAGTTTAAAAAGAAAAGAAAATTTAATCAGAAATTAACCTGGATATTTCTTTTTTAAATTGTGGAAAACTCAAAAAGAACATATCCACATTAGGAATGGCGTTTACACTTTTAGACATTAAATATAGGGGTGAATTAAAGTGATGATACGTATTTGGTACGGGAATATGAAACGTACTCACTACGTGTCCCGCTCAGGTCTGGCTCAAGGTGGCGAACTGGCTCAGGCGGTTACTAACTCTGAAGTTGCGGGTTGGGATCCTCGGGCCAGTTTCTGCAACCTTAGTTTGCCCCGGACAGTATACTCAGCATCACCCAATTTTTGAACGATGTTCTAGGGCACTTTGAGAAGTGCTGGCATTAACTGACGATAACTCAATCGCCAAAATTCTACGTGTTGGCAAAGGAAGCAAAATTCACGAGCTCGAATACCTCGAACCACTTGAGCATAACTCCAATGTTCTGGAAAGGTTCTAGGGCCATTTGGGTCAGTGCTGGATCCACTGGCATTATCTCACAGCAAATGGATCGCCAAAATTGAACACCTTGGCAGGGAGATCGAAATTCGCGAGATACAACGATCATGACAACATTTTATTCACATGGCTGACCCTGCGCTGGTCCTGGTCGAGATTTGTTGACCATTTCCAATGTTTGGAAGGTATTCAAGACCATTCATAGTTACCCCTCAACTTAACAGATCGCTTGAGAAATTGTCCCAGAGGAACTGTATATGTATATGGAAAACTATATGGAGCGAGAGACGTAAGGCTCAGAAAGGGAGTTTTACTTCATATTTTTTAATGTCGGCAGTCAGTTTCCGAGTTTATCAAACCTAAAAGACGTCATCCACAATATAGTCGTCAAATTACTAACCATTGCTAGGGAATCAATTTGGGGTAAATTGTCTCGACTAACCATGAACAAATCCCTGTTCCATTATTAACAACTCGCGAAACCACTGTTTGCCATCAAAATAGCGACTAGCCAGTAGTATTTTGTAGAACCGGCCGACCGTTCTCCTGCACAGTCGGCGCTGATGACGTAGCGTCTAACTGGGCTGTATAAAATAACCCCAGACTTTTAAATCTTATGTTCTATAATACTAATCCTAACGACTTAAAATAAACGCTATTGTTCTTGTAAAATTAAGTTTTATTTATTTTCGATAAAGATAATATACTTTTTTTTTTATTTTCCAAGCCCATTAAAATAGGGCTAAAATAAAGACCTTTAATAATAAATTATGTACCTAAGATTAAAATAATATACTGTCTTTCTATAAAAATAATAAATATATAAATGACTGTGTGTCCTCGCATTTAATACAAAATACAGTTTGTTTGTGTAGCGGAGTAATAACTCTTCAAACACCAACAAAACGTAATTAAAGGTAAATTTAAGTTTTGCCAGACATTATCGACATTTCAGTAAATTTTAAGATACTTACCATCTTGTGTTCCAGTATGTTAAGGAATATTTTTTTATATAATATTTATTTCACAGCCAAAAAGCTGTATTATTGTTGTTAATATTTATATATAATATTACTATTCAGTGAGAATGTAAATATTAGAACGCATTTGATAAAATAGTTATTATATAGTCAAGTAAAAAATTACTCATTCTTGATTTTCCTGGATAATTTTATTTTCTTGTGGTTTTTTCTTCTATTAATTGGTATTTTTCAGTGGTTTTCTTGAGATGTGTTTGCTTTGATAAAAATACTGTGGTTTATTATTTAGGGTTTCCTTTGAATTCATGTCCGTATTATAAGAAGTGTTTTGTGGTTTATTGATATTATTGTAATTCTTTTAAAAATGTATTTTTTATATGTTTAGCACCATGTTATTATTATGTTATATATTAAAAATTGCTTGGGACCTTTTATTATTAAATGTGAGTGGCATATATATATTAACATTTTATTTTTACAGCGATCAACAGGGTTGTTTATATTAAAATTAATGCTTATACAGGTCGATTTTGTTTTTTAGATGCACACGTTTTAGTTTATGTACATTTTTGCCATCATTTTATATCATCTCCGAAAGTACTTCATTTAAGTCCGAACAAGTCTTTTAATAAATTTATTATTTCTCATAAAAATTTGATAGATTTGTACATTTTTTTTTTTTATAAACATGTATGGTGAACCATTTAGATTTTTATCAAAAACGTAAGCAAGTTGATGGTTCTATCCTCTTTTAAAATAATACCCAAAATATATTCATATTTGTGTCGTCTAGAATTCT